AGCCCAGCAATCACTTTCCTCCCTTCCCACAGAGGTCTAGGGTACACCTGATAAGATCTGGGGGATTTATGCCCCTTTATGCATTTTAAGACATCCAGCACTACTTCCTCTGTATTTTTCAAGGTGTAACTATTTATTTCCCCACGTTCCTATCTTCCATATCCTTCCCCAAGTAAATACTGATGCAAAATACTCGTTTAGTATCTCACCCATCTCCTGCAGTTCCACACTTAGGTGGCCTTGCTGATCTTTAAGGGGCCCTGTTCTCTCCTTTGTTACCCTTTTGTCCTTAATGTACTTGTAGAATCCTTTTAGATTCTCCTTAACCCTGTTTAGCCTTTGACAAGGTGCCGCACAGGAGGCTGTTGAGTAAGGTAAGGGCCTATGGTGTTAGAGGCAAGGTACTAGCATGAATAGAAAATTGGCTGACTGGCAGAAAGCAGAGAATGGGGATAAAAGGGTCTTTCTCAGGATGGCAACTGGTGACAAGTGGTGTTCCGCAAGGGTCAGTGTTGGGACTACAACTTTTCACTTTATACATTAATGAGCTAGATGAAGGAACTGAGGGCATTCTGACTAAGTTTGCAGACGATACAAAGATAAGTGGAGGGACAGGTAGTATTGAGGAGGTAGGGAAACTGCAGAAGGATTTGGACAGGTTAGGAGAGTGGGCTAAGAAGTGGCAGATGGAGTACAACGTGGGAAAGTGTGAGGTCATGCACTTTGGTAAGAAGAGTAAAAGCATGGACTATTTTCTAAATGGGGAGAAAATTCAGACGTCTGAAGTGTAAAGAGACTTGGAGTTCTAGTCCAGGATTCTCTCAAGGTAAACTTGCAGGTTGAGTCAGTAGTCAGGAAGGCAAAAGCAACGTTGAGATTTATTTTGAGAGGACTTGAATATAAAAACAGGGATGTACTTCTGAGGCTTTATAAGGCTCTGGTCAGGCCACATTTGGAGTATTGTGCGCAGTTTTGGGCCCTATATCTCAGGAAGGATGTACTGGCTCTGGAGCGGGTTCAGAGGAGGTTCACGAGAATGGTCCCAGGAATGGAAAGCTTAACATATGAGGAACGTTTGAGAACTCTGGGACTATACTCATTGGAGTTTAGAAGGATGAGGGGGAATCTAATTGAAACTTACAGAATACTGAATGCCTGGAGAGAGTGGATGTTGGGAAGATGCTTCCATTGGTAGAAGAGACTAAGACCTGAGGCACAGCCTTAGAGTAAAGGGAAGACCTTTTAGAACGGAGATAAAGAGAACCTTCTTCAGCCAGAGAGTGGTGAATCTGTGGAAGGCTGTGGAGGCCAGGTCATTGAGTACATTTAAGACTGAGATGGATAGGTTATTGATTATCAAGGGTTACGTGGAGAAAGCGGGAGAATGGGGTTGAGGAACTTATCAGCCATGGTTGAATGGCGGAGCAGACTTGATAGGCTGAATGGCCCAATTTCTGCTCCTAAGTCTTATAGTCTTATTTGCCAGTGCTATGTCATGGCCCCTTTTTGCTGCCCTGATCTCCTTCTTAAGTATGCTCCCACTGTCTTTATGCTCTTCTCGGGATTCACTCGATCTCTGTTGTCTGTACCTGACAAAGCTTTTCTTCTCAACTGAAACTGGACTGTGGCCACCACTGGTCTGTCTGTCTTTATGTCAAAAAAGATCAACTTTGTAAACACTGGATCAATGAACTCTTGGGTGGACATATATCCCTACGTGTTGTGTATCTAGTCATTTAGTTTAAATCCCATGCTTACTTGGACACGGTATTTGGACTCACTGTTCAAAAATGACTTTCTATTTCTTTATTAAAATAAAATCGCCTTCACAGAACTGAAAACCAAAATCTCTCTTCGAGCACGATCAAATCCAAGCTCCCAAATGATAATGTTATATACCTCTATCACACAGAGCTGTGTGTAGTGAGGTGAGTAATGAAGGCAGCCCATGTTAACTTTGCGTTCTGCTCTGTTTTGCTGGCCACTGCTTTCATCTCATCTTTTGTGTGGGTTGGGGCAATGATTTAACTTGCAAGCGGCCAGAGAGTAAATTCTTTGCTCCGTTTGTTTAACTATGTGAATATTTGAACAATACAACCATTGATTGTTTTGCTATCAGCCAATGACTTTGTTGCATTGTTGCTTCAAAGTCAGTAAGCCTTCACAGACTGGAGGCAGAGTGTGGCCTGAGAAGGCGGCAAATGACATAATGAAGCGGAATGCTTTCCACTGATGGGAAGTCATACCAAGCTCAATGGAACAAACACAGAAAATGCTACAGAAGCTCAGCAGGAGTCATGTACAGCATGGAAACGAACTCTTCAGTCCAACTTGCTCATGCCAACCAGTCATCCTAAACTGATCTAGTCCCATTTGCCAGCATTTGGCCCATATCCCTATTTGTAGGGATAGAAACAGAGTTAATGTTTTGAGTCCATTATGATTTTTCTGCAAATGAAATGTGTTGATATTCATCTACCTGAATTTTTGACACAAACATTTGTGAATGAAGAACCACAGAAAACCCACTTCTCTCTTGACACCCTAATCTTCCACATTGCCCAAGCATCAGTTTGACAAGCGATTGTGTCAAAAGAGAGAATTGAAGCTAATCTAGTGTGGCTGCATAATGATGGAGCAGAAGATATAATTCTCATTTTTATTTCAAACCTAACTCTTAGCGCAGTAAAATGTTTTGTGCAGTGTCTGGAGCTGGACCTGTGGGAATCCATTATAAAATATTTAATGCTGTGATGCAAATGGAATGGGTAGTAGGGAAGGCACTTTGTCTTCATTATGTACTTATTCCTGGAGATATGCTATAAGTGGATTTCCCATTTCCATGCTCTTGTACAGCCGAGCAAATCAACTGCAGAGTGTTTGCAGTCAAAGAACAAAGAAAACTCCAGCACAGGAACAGGCCCGTCGGCCCTCCAAGCCTGCAACGACATGCTGCCCATCGCAACTAAAATCTCCTACCCTTCCGGGGATCATATCCCTCTATTCCCATCCTATTCATGTATTTGTCAAGACACCCTTTAAAAGTCACTATCGTATCTGCTTCCACTACCTACACCGGCAGTGAATTCCAGGCACCCACCACCCTCTGTGTTTTAAAAAAAAAGCACTCTTACACCCTGGGAAAAAGCTTCTGACTGTCCACTAATTGAGTTATAGAGGCCTATAGTACAGGAAAAGGCCCTTCAAGTCTTAGCGGATGGCATCTTCATGGTATTGAGTATAAAACAATATTGCTAAGCTATTTGAATAGGAGTGACTAGTAGCTGTAATTGTAAAGTATGCCTGCCTTGGATAATGCACCTTGGACTGCCTTCAACAGATTATTGGGCTAATGATAACATGAATTTTATATGGATTTCCGGTGATGGTGGCATGTTGGTAATGCCACTAAAGTAGCAGCCCAGAACCTGAGGCTAATACTTTGGGACCATGGGATCAAATCCCACCATGAAATCTGGTGGACTTTCAATTTGATTAATAAATTTGGAATAGACACTGATCTCAGAAATTGTGACCATGAAAGTGTTGTCGGTTAATTGTAATCGATCACTGGTTCACCAGGGTTCTTTAAGGAAAGACATTTGCCATCCTTAAACCTGGTCCGGGCTACATATGACTGCAAACCCATAGTGATGTGGTTGCACCTTTAACTGTCCTCCTACATTGGCCAAGTGAATGACTCTGTTCAAAGGCAATTAGTGTTGGGGCAACAAAGGCTGGTGTTGCCAGTGCCTACGTTCCACGAAAGAATTAATAAAAAAGACCTCTGCCCGCACATGACTGATGTGTTAAAGTTAATATACAGATATAAATGACTAACAGCACGGCTTGTTTTAAACTTGAGAGCTATATCAATTTAAGAGATTCTTTCTGGAGGTTTGAGTTTTCTTTTCCTGGAAAAAGCCAGCAGTCACAGTTTTGTAGATCAAATTATTAACTCAAATTAGCTTACTTTCACTGCACGCAAGTTATTTATCTTCAGGTATCACATCACTTTACACCCTATTGGAGAGGACGAGAGTAGGGAAACTGAAGAACACGTGAATTGCTGAATTAAAAAATACCAAAACCTGTCTAGTTTGTCTTTTACGTTCCTGGGTGTCACATGATGCCACAATAATGGAGTTGTTGACTAATTGTCATAATTGATCTCAAGCAATTATCAGCAGTGGGCCTAGTCATGACTCGACAAACTTCTGATGAAGACCTTTGGTCATTACAAGTGCAAAGTCACCTCTTCCTCTCAAACAATCTAGAAAGTAGATGAAACTGCCATTATTTAATGTCTGTGAATCTGAGGAATGTATCCCAAGTTAGATTTCAAATGAGCAAAGATTTGCATTTAGCATATTTTCCACATTCTCAGGAAGGACAAAAGCAAAGGATAGCCAGTGACATCTGACATCAGTCACTTATTTAAATGTAGGAAATTTGGCAGCCATTAAGTGCACAGCAAGGTGTCTCGAACAGCGGTGAAATAGATGATCAGATCATTTAATAATAAAAAACTGAGGGAAAAGTGTTGTTGTGACCATGAAAATTGCCTGCTCCTAGACTGGTGCTGTGCTTGCTTTTACGTATATCTGTGATAAAGCAGTTTGGTTTAATCTTTCATTTGAAAGACTGCACTTCTGACAGTGCGGCACTTCTCAGTACTGCAGTGGATTGAGAGTTGAGATTTTGAGCTTGAGTGGCTGGATTGGGACTTTGACTCATTCTCTGGGAATTGCATTGGGTCTTGGATTGTGTGAGAGCAATACCACTGAGCCAAGACGATCGACTCCATTGCTACAGTAATGCGTGTTCTCTAAAGAAGTACTAACTTAAAGAAAAGCAAACTTAGATGTACAGTGGGCATAGTTATCAGCATTTATAACCCAATCCTATTAGTGATAGCTACCTGTAATAATTTCTTCAGTTACTTTCTTCAGCTTTAGAGAATATCCTTGTTATATCACTTTCAATTTCTTTCTTGCCAGGCATTTGCTCAGTTCGATGCAGAAGGAGATGGCACAGTTGCCGTGGAGAACATGTTGGAGTCATTGAAAACTTCTGGTGGTGCCAATCTGCAGGGTGAATTAAGTCATGTGATTCGGCAACTACAGGGGTGCTCCCTCACTCCAGGTAGGGACACTCATTTATGGAATTGTAATAATTAAAAGCTGTTGCATTATTTGTGCATTTTCCTGTGAAGATAGACATAAATGTTTGAACAATATTTCTGCTGTCCCTGCTTCTAAGGGGTCAAACTGTGTTAGTTATTTTACTTTTCATGTACTTGTAAAAGCTATCAGATTCTTTTTGTATCCATTTCTAGGTTATTTTCACTTTTTGTCAAGTTTTTAGCATTTTGTTGGCTTTAAAATACTCCCAAACGTCAGACTAGTTTATTCTTTTAATATTAAACACTTCTTTTGATCCAACGCTCTCCTTAGTTATTTCATAAGCCATGAATGGATTGAGTTTCTTTTATTTTAACAATGTGTTTTATATTGTTCCCTTTAAATATTTTCCACTTTATTTATGGTCATACTTTTTAAAATCTATTTAGTGAATCAATCATAGCCAGCTCTCCCCTCGTACTATGAAGTTGGATTTATTTAAATTTAAAAATTTTGTTTGGGATTGGAATATGTTGCTTTTGAACTTAATATGGAATTCAAACTGAAAGAACTGCAGATGCTGTAAATCAGGAACAAAAAAGTTGCTGGAAAAGCTCAGCATGTCTGGCAGCATCTGAAGAAAAAATTGGAGTTAACGTTTTGGGTCCTGTGACCCTTCCTCAGAACAGATGCTGCCAGACCTGCTGAGCTTTTCCAGCAACTTTTTTTTGCTCTTGATATGGAATTCAATTGTGTTACGATCACTTTTTCCCAGAGAATCTTTGACTGTGAGAGTACCAATTAATTCTGCTTAATTGCACAATATTGATCCAAAATAGCTTTATCCCTACTTGGTTTCACAATGTATTGCTCCATAAAACTGTTACAAAAGCATTCTGTAAACTCATCTTTTAGACTTCCTTTACCAATTTGATTTGCTTAGTGTATATGAAGACTAAAGTCGTACATGGTTATTACATTGCATTTGCTACAAGCTCCAATTTCTTTTTGTTTAATGCTCTGGCCAATGGTCTTAACAATTGTTAGCAGGCCTGTGAACTGCTCCTTACAGCAATTCTGTGCATCTTATTCCTAATCTCTGCATGTAGTGATTCTGCTTCCTGATCTTCTGAACTAAGCTTCTTTGTCACTGATGTTCTTTATATCAGTCTTCATTGTCAGGACTCTTCCAGCTTTTCTATTCTGACAGATTTTAAGTAGCTGTCCTAAGTCTTGCAGTTTAACCTTTAACCTTTATCACTGCTAATCTTTGAATTATTTTTGTTTAGTCCATGAATGCTGGTGGCTTGTACATTGTGCAGATATTGCAGCCAAACATGGTTACTCTGAAATGTACATTACGGGTCACTGGAATGTGGGAGACCTAGCTGTTACTTGTTTCCCATTTTCCTGGCTTGTTTTAGCAGACCTCAGATAAACTTGGAACTCCATTGGGTTTGAGATTAATGTGTTATTCTTTCCAGCATTTTATTTTTGAAAATGCCATTTGTACATTGATCTTCCTTTGACATCTTTTGCTGAACCGTTATAGAACATCCTTTAAAGTTTTTTCTTCTTGCTGCACACTTTGTCCTCCCAAATGCTGTTTTAACCATGTTATTCTTCAAAGAGTCTTTAGAGAATCTGTTTGCTTTGAACTGGCCAGGAGGCCATTCAAGCTTTAACCCTCCATAGAATACCTTTTGCGGATCTAATATCCAGCATCTGGATTATGTGATCAACCCATTTTGGCTGTGCCTGGCATGTTTGCTTTTCTGAGTACCTCTATTATGCTGCCATTTAAGGTTTCATGATTTTCCTGAGGCAGCCTTGATTTTTGGTGACATGTGGTCCACGTACATCAAAGATGTTATTGTTCATTCCATGTCACTCCAGTGAGTGCTAATATTTATTCTGTCCCTATCTGAATGGTAGATTCCATTAATTACACCGTAATTGTGAACGAAATGATAAAATAAAGGGCCTGTTTCATAGATTTGGCCGCGAAGTCATTATGCAAATATCTGTGGAAAACTGGCATCACTTTGAATGTCAGGGGCTGGGTAGGTGAGTTGCACATCTACTGTGTGTGCTTAACTCCTCAGTGGACTCTGATTGTTAGGTAAAATTTCAGCATTGCCACAAACTGGAAAACTGTCCAAAAAGAAATATATCACTTTCTTAGCTGATCTAATTGTTTGTCTTCAAACTTTTTAAAAGAAATTCTGTCTATTTGGGATTGTAACATAAGTGGATCTTCCTCTTTTTCGACACTTGTTCTAACCAGCTTTGTTCCCAAGTTATACTATGCACTTTGCGAAGATAGAAAGTTGGCTTTGGCTTCATGAGCGGCACATTGTAGCTAATTTTCATTCATTGTACATGGTTGCTTTTGTTTGCATTCATTTCTCTTGTTTTCTTCTTCCAGGGTTTGTTGACATCTTTTCAAAAAACAAGGAACGCATGGGTGTTCATGCTGCAAAAATCTTGCGTTTCCTCCACAGGAACCGAATTCCAAGTAGTGCAATTCCATTCCCCATGATGGATAGTTATAACAACATATGTGCCATGCGTTCTTCTGTTTTGAAAGATTGCCTAAAGCAGCTATTAGAGAAAAAGAATGGTGAGATGTTAATCTTTATATGGTATAACTGTTTCAGTGGTACAAGCGTGGCTTTTTAAAAAGTTATTAGTTTTGTTAAATGTACTTTTTAAAAACAAAGACCTTGGATGGCTTAAACTTTTGTGAAGCTGTTTATGAGAATAGGCAGGTGTTTTTGGTTAAACATAAGTGCTTTACTTTGTTTTCCCCCACATTGTTCCACTTTTGTTTTGGCGTGTTTGGGATCTTGCTCCTTGGTCTCTGGAAACACTTTTGTAACTGGCAACAAAGCTAGCCCTACTGTCTGAGAATAGTGTGCATGCTGAACTCTTATTTCATAGAGTGTGTGGGACTAAATACCCAGTGCCCATTAAGGATCAGCTCCAAACAACTTGGTCAACCACCAATCCCTGAAGGAACTCATTTTCTGGTATGGATCGGTAACAGATAACCGGAAAGGATAAGAAGCTCAGCAGGTCTGGCAGTCCATGTGGAGACGGAAACAGAGTTGATATTTCCATTCCACTGTGACTGTGTTCTTCAGGACTAAAGAGAGATGGAAATGAGATAGGTTTCATGTTGTTGAGGAAGAGGGGAGGGTCCAGTGGACAGAAGGGAAAGGTTTGAGGATGAGTGAGATTAAAGACTGAAAGTGGCAAGGCAAATGATTAAAAATATGTGTATGTGAAAGAGTCTAACTGTAAAGCAATGACATGGAGCAAGGGTAGAAGTGGCAACTAATAGAGCAGTGTGTATCCCAGAGATAGTAAGAACTGCAGATGCTGGAGTCAGAGATAACAGGGTGGAGCTGGAGGAACACAGCAGACCAGGCAGCATCAGAGGAGCAGGAAAGCTGACGTTTTGGGTCGGGACTTCTGAAAGGTCCTGATCCAAAATGTCAGCTTTCCCGCTCCTTTGATGCGGCCTGACCCGCTGTGTTATTCCACCTCCACACTGTGTGTTAGAGTGAATCCCAAGGTGCAAAGACAAATTTTGAACTCTGAGGAAGAAACATAATGAACAGGGAATGTCATTGTGGCAGATTTAGGAATAGCTGATTTTAGATAAGAATTGTCAAAATTTCAGTGATTATATTTCTGATAAGTTACTGCCCTCAAATTCACTTTTCAGGAGACCAGCTTGCTTAAACTGTTTGTTTGAATCCCAAGAAAAAGTATAATGTTTGATTTTTTGTTTCTACAGAGACATTTAATTTGTGGCCATTTAAGCTGATGTATGATGTGCTATTTGATGTGTGTGACAGGGTCAGGCAGAGCTGTGATTCTCTGTTGCTGAGTAGCTTTATGATACATGTCTAGATGCATGAGTATTGCAGTAACTGTTTTCAAATTGACACTGCATGGATACATTTCTTGCAGAGCATCTGACATTTGGAAAGATTTTGCTTTGTATGCCCAATATTTTCACTGTAATTGAGTTTTGTTAATTTCAACTTTTTAACAAAGTCAGTTTGAAGCCAATCCACCTGGGAGTTGATGAATTACAACTTAAAATTAACTGCATTTGATGTACTTTAGTTTCAAATGTCTTAAGGGCCAAGTGTGAGGATGAGTTTCTGATGTTTGTGAAAGGTATTACAACTATATTTTGGTTAATAATTGGTTTTATGCTTTATCCTGTTGCAGTTCAAAGAGAATTATGCAATCTATTCATTCTAATAATAGCTGACCTCCTGTACTTTACAGAAGCCAAATTTACATGAGGGAGAAATAATCTTATGGGGTTTTGATGAAGTAGGGTTGGAGGAGACTAGTGTGGAATATAAATTCTGTGGGCCAGGCTTTGCTTTGGCAGGGCATCCTGTGGTATCTGCTGTTGGGTAAACACATCCTTGCACATTCCAGCTCAAAGCATCATTGTCCATTTAGTTACTGAACAGCAAGCTAATAATGGAAGAGAGAGCAAAAGAGGGCATTTGCAGCTTGAGTGAACAGAGAAAACAACTATGTAGTTCTTTAAGCAGTCTGGTTGAAAGATTGTGAAATAAAGGGTTGGGTAGGAAGTGTAAATTGTTATGGGTAAGTACAATGTTGAAGCAGGTGCAGAGAGGAACTGTAAATTATTTTTAATTTTGATATTTTTAAAATCTCCAACATAATTACTATCTGGAGAAATGAGACTTCACACACAATTTTCCATGCCAGAGAGCTTGTCAGGCATAATGTCATAATACTCATTATTAAAAGGGCAATTGTACATGGAATGATGACTGCGATCTAAGATGTGTGATTTGTATATATTTAAATATTTGTTTTTGAGTTTAGATTTTGAACTAGTGGCATATGGGTTTTAGTCTGTGTGCATGAGGGGATTTAATGATTAATTTGTCATTATTTTTGGAGCCTTTTTTTAGAACTATTATAGAGAATGGGAGCACCTGGGGATATAATGGGAGTTAATTTTGCACTTGGAGAATTTTACGAGTGCAGAATAAATACTGAGGCATGTTAGCTTATTTTCAGTTTAGAAGGAGCAGGTTTTTTTAGTTGAGGGGCAAAACTGATTGCATGGAAAGCTTTTGGTTCGAGTATGCGGAAGTCCTGGTTAAAGTTAGATGTACAAAACAGTTTCTTTCGAGAAAGGAAATAGTTGAGAACCATTAGGAAGCAGATGACCTCAGTGTAAGGATTTTAGTTTTGATTTTAAGGATGACCTCAGTGTAAGGATCTTAATGTTGGGTTAGAACCCTGAAGGTGTTATTTGAAGCTGTGTAAGTCTGAAATTAGTTGTATGACTAATCAAGGAAGAGGCTACCAAATTGAACAGAACTGTCAAATCTTTCAAATTGTTTTATGTAATTGGTTTGTTCTGTTTTATCTTTTGTGTAATGAACTTTTGCTCTGTAATTATAACCAGATCTGTAGCCTCACAGGCTTGTCTGTATGAAAGGCCATCTTGTTCAATTTTAAAAAAAAAAAACAAAATATGATCTGTCAAGCCAGATTCAGGTTGAGATTTGACTTGTCTCGCAATAACATCAGCTAAGATTATAACATGAGTCTTGACTCTCTGTGCCAAGTTTAGTTCACATCAACTACATGACATTTACTATTCCTAAAGAGTGAGACAGGCAGTAAAATTCCATATTTGCAAAGATATCAGCAGGACAGTACAAATTACACGGTGATAGGATGTTGGCATTTAACTGTACTTGATCATTGCTCTAAGTTGCTGTGCCATATACATTTAAAGAAATACCATTAGCATTCCCATTGTCTTGACAGCTAAATCTGACCCATTATAATTTAGTTGTTATCCAGATCACCACAGAATCTTAGATGATTTTAACACGCATTCCAAGTTTTTGGCTCGGGCCCTATTTTACAATTAGGTTGATGGGAGAACAGATAAATGCTACTCTGTTCTATAGCACTCGGTCAGTTGACAGCATTGACTACTGATGACCTCGGGTGTCTCCATGGACACCCAACATGCTGTACGCCTGACCTGATTCCCAAAGTCCCATCGCAAAAAAGAGAAGTATCCTTCTCTACAATGATCACGTATGTCCTCGCAGCCCCTCCCCAGCTTTACCTGACTTCGGCCTGAGCCTTCTGCGTTATCGCAGCACTATCTGATACTGTGTCCTCCTCCATCTATTCACTTGGCACGGTGCCATCACCTCTCCTCCTTCACACCGATGCCACCCCCAACCCCTGCCTAGCAATGTAACCCTGACTGATGCCATCAAAGTGAGTTTAGGACCTTTACATCATGGAATGGGCTGACTTTTAAAAATTTATTTGTGGGTGTGAGTTTCGTTGGCTGGCCCAGCATTTATCATTGTTGCTGATGGAAAGAAAAACCCATTTGGACCCCTGTCATTTGCAGGAATGAGAATCCAACACATTGTAGTTTATTTTATTTTAGCTCCTGAGTTTTATCCTTACTCTGATAGTCATTTCAGGTTTTAAAACAATTAGATGTGCTCCATGATTTGATAGATAGGTTGGTAAATACTTCCCAAAACAGGGTAACATAATTGAAGTCATTCAACTCAAATCTAAACAGCATTTTGAGTTTGTTCAAATATTTGTGTTTGGCAGCTCTCTCTTTTTTTAAACATTTAAGTTATTTAATTTGATGACTTGGTGTTATAACAATTGAATTCAATCAGGCTAGAAATTAGTTTCTTCTTGTGTTCTGAGGAATAATATAAGAAACTGGCTGTGGGTAACGGTGGCATTAAAAGATCAAACAGAAGTTGATCACAATAATTACAGTCAGTGCCTGGTCTGACATTTACGTCATCCATGTCATGCTTCAAATAACCTGAGGTAGGATGGAGTCTGAGACCTTTGTACCAATAGGTCACACATTATAATATAATGGTGATAACATAAGCATGTCTCCTAAAGATATATAGACATACTAATTTTAACTCGTAATGGAATTCTGGAAGCCAAAACCAAGTTAAATTATGGATAAAAATTCATAAATAACTATCTGTTTTGTTTGTTGAATTGTGTGTTGTAATAAATGTAATGTGTTTCTCAACTACAGAGCAGACGATTCAGTGTTCGACAGATAGCGATCAAGATCTAGATAAGCTGAAGATGATAATCAAGTGCTACACCACCATAGAAGCATCTTCAAACTCTACAGATATTGACAAGATGACCAATGGAGAAACTACTTCTTATTGGCAATCAGATGGGAGTTCGTGTTCACACTGGATCAGGTGGGCAGACCAATGATAACAGAAACCCTACTTGTGTATGGTAACTTAATTCAGTTGGCTGGACAGCTGGTTTGCAATGAAATGGGTTCAATTCCTGCACCGGCTGGGGTTACCATGAACGAACCTCCTTCCCAAACTCTCCCTTCTCTAATGAGAAAGCAGCCTTATGGTCCTTTGTAGCTATGGCGAATTCACATTTTACCTTTTTAATTCTGCTCATAGAGAAGAATATTTGTTTAATTCTCAGACTAAATTGAATTTGATTCATAAAGATTGAAGCAATTTAATCACTTGTACCATCTTTGAGGGAATGGAGAAATAAAATTATACAAAAGTGAGTTTATAGATCTATTTCAAGTTAAAATGTCTTCTGGGTAAAGGGACTTGGCTACAAATTCATAAAAGACAAACTTAGTACCGATATAGCACTGTCCACAAAGTTCATATAAAAAAATACAAATCAAGGACATCATTGGTAGAGCTAATTTCTTTGCCTATCTCTAATTGTCCTTGTGAAGGTGAACCACCTTAAATACATCTTGAATGGCTTGCTGGTCTAGTTCAGAAGCCAGTGAAGAATTTTCACGATCCTGATGAGAGGCCCCACTATTTCGTGAACCATGCCTAATGCAAAAATTACCAATTGAATCACCAAAATGGTTAACTTGCTTGGCTTTGACTGCTAACTAGAAAAAAAGAAATTCACACCATGTTTCATCAGTAAACAAAAAAAACCTTCTCTTACAAACAAATGTATCCTTTAACAAGTGACAAAATTTATTATTCACTTCTACTCTACAAACTTAAAATATATCCCCTTTAAACCCAAACACGCACGCATTCATTCACAAATAAAATAAACATGATGGACAGCTCTGTAGAAATATTATGGGTATGAAATATAGGCAGAAAGATTCTTGTGGATCAAGAGTCCAAAACATGAGGGTAGAATGAGGTGAATTTCTATCAATTCTTTAGGTTTTGGCATGATATCACATTGTTGGCTGTAGACTATAAATGATCCTCAGTTGAGTAGCCAGTCAGTTGGACCTAGGTCTTTGCTTGAGTTGGATGTTCTTCTTTTCAAAGCCTGAGTTGTTTTTTTTTCTTCACTCTGGGAATGAGAAGGAGAGACCTGTCATTGTTTGTAGGCTTTCCAGATGTCTTGAATGCAGCTGTCATTCTCAATTCTGTGACAAATGATAATTTGAAAATTGAGTAGCTGTTGCTAGGCATCCTTTTAATCCAAAGTTACTGAGTGCTAGCTTGTCTCTTTAAAAAGTATCAAATCCAGTTATGTAATCTTGTGTAACCAATAAGTGAATATCTCACAGAACTATTTTTGACTTTAGACCTTCAAAAAGAAAAGCACACTTGGTATGTTCTCTGCCACACAGCAATGTCCAAACTTCCACTTTTCGCAGGTTATTTTTCAAAAATTTACATGAAGTCTTTACTAAATTAACCAGATTGCTGAGAATCTAGAGTCACCTATAAGTGACCGTGATGTAGAGATGCCGGTGTTGGACTGGGATGGACAAAGTCAGAAGTCACATGACATCAGGTTATAGTTCAACAGACTGTTTAAAATCACAAGCTTTCAGAGCGCTGTTCCTTCTCTTCACCTGATAATTGAGCAGCACTCAGAAAACTTGTGGTTTTAAATAAACTTCTTGGTATTGTGTGACCTCTGACTTATAGGTGAGACCATGCACATGTCCTCCTTGAAACGACTTTAGTGAATCTGATGGGGTTTTACAATAATTCAGCACTTTTATCACCACCAATACTGCTTTCTATTCCAGATTTATTTGACAACCCTGTATTTTAATTAAAATTATGCATCTACCACACACCCGAGAAATAAGAATCAGAGTAAATCATTTAGCTTCTCAAACAGCCTGTGTTTTCATTCATTAAAGTCGGTGCTGATCTGCTACTTCAGCCGTTCCCCATGTCGCTTCTTAACTGTGTTCCTTCTGTGAGTGCAGTTAAGATTTTAAAATAAATTTTGCCATTGTTTTACTATCAAAATGAATAACCTCACACTTGCCTACATTATTGCTACATCTGCCATCTTGTTGCCCACTCGCTTGATCTACTGTATCTCTTTTGTAGGCTCTTGGAACCCTTCTCTAAACTTACATACCTATTGAGCATTTTGTTGTTGGTTCTTTTAGATTCATTTCTCTGCGTTCCATCAGTTACAGCCTCCCAAGTTCTGACAAAGGGTTTTAGCCCGAAATATTGACTTTCCTGCTCCTCGGCTGCTATCTGACCTGCTGTGCTTTTCCAACCTCACACTTAGAGACTCTGGCTTCCAGCATCCACAGTCCTTGTTGTCTCTGAGTTACAAATGGCTTGTTTATCTCTCTTCTGATTCCTGTAAAGAAAAAATAATGTAACCTGTTCGAAGTAGTGGCATATGAGCCCATATACCTCCAGGGAAGCTAAGTATACATGAGGGAGAGAGGATTAGAAGTAATACTCGTGGTGTTAGGTGAGGTAGAATGAGAGGAACAATATATTGTTTCTCTTTTCACAGCAGAAGACCCTAATTATGTACCAAAAATAATAGGTAACTGGGACTACCAACTTGCAAAAGCTTCATTTTTTTCATCCTTACTCAGCTTCCTTTCTGTTAACCAATCTTTCGTTTTCCTTTTATCAACTATCTCCAATAGTTGTACCACACAAGTTTCTTTTCGTGAGACTATGTTAACTTTATCTGATTATACTCTGATTTACTGCATGCACTAAAATTTCTTGATGACTAATATCAGGTTGTCTGCTCTGTAGTTCTCCTCTTACTCTCCCCTCTCTTGAATAAGGTTGTTACGTTTTGTAACTTCCAATTAACTGAGACAAAGAGAAACCATTCTCGAATCTTAAGGAATTTCAGAAAATAATATCCAGTGCATTCATTGTCCTTTTATCTGCCTCTCTTATATTCCTAAGATACAGGCCATCACGTCCTGGAGATTTGTTTTTATTCGCTTCATGGTTACTTGCTCTTTCTTGTACATTTGTGTCTTTGGTGAAAACAGAAACAAAATATTCCTAGTCCTGAAGAAGAGTCATATTGGACTTGAAAAGTTAACTGTTTCTCTCTTCACAGATGCTATCAGACCTCCTGAATTACTCCATTTTTATTTCAGGTCTTCAGCATCCGCGGTGTTTTGCTTTCATTTAACAAATAATAATGCGCGAATTCATAACAATACAAAGCATTTGTTCCTCTCACCTCATGCCATCAACATTACCTCTGTTCCTTACTCCCTCAGATATAGTTAGATTCCCTGGATTTACTTGGGCGTGAATGCTGTTACATAGAGCAGGTTGCATAATATTTTCATGTGTTTTAGGACTGCAAAAGACTAAATGATGAATCTAATCATGGCGAAGGTATAGCTATAATCTCTTTAGCAGACTTCAGGAACTCAGCACTGTTCTTGGTCTTTGACATTTGGATCTGAAAATGCATCTTGATCAGTTAGCTTCAAGATGTAAATAATCACCCTTTGATAATTTTCAAGCTCACGTAGTTCAGAGTTTCTTTATCCTTTTATGGGATTTCATAAGCATTTATTGTTTGTATCTAATTACCTATGAACAAAGGGGCTACTTCAGAGGACAGTTAATATTCTGCTGTGGGTCTGGAGTCACGTTGAGATCAGAGCAGGTAAGGATGGTAGATTTCATCCCTTAAAGGACATTTGTGAATCAGGACGATTGAAGATAGTTGTTAACCATAATTGAGACTGGCTTTACACACCAATTTTATTCACTGAATTTAAGTTCCGCCAGCTGCCTGGGGTGAGATTTGAACTCGCGTTCCCAGAGTATTAAACTGGGCTTTTAAGTTAATAGTTCAATGACGTTATCACTATGTCACCATCCTCCTCCCCCTGCTACAATCCCAAATAAAAAGAGAGAAAATATTGAGAAAAGGAGGGAGCGCAATGTAAAACCTCATCCACTGGCCTTAGCTGCTCCCAAAAATATATCTACCCGGTGCTAATTTGCATATGTGAATTGAACTCTGACCTTAAGCTTTAATGAAGAACCATTCCAGAAATATTAACTTCGCTTCACTGATTACTTACTGACCTGAGTATTTCCAGCAGTTGCTGATCTTGAGTTCCAGTATCAGCATTTTTTCTTCATTAACCTACTGTCAAAAGATATATGTCAAAAATCAATTTTTTTCTTTTTGTTTCTCTTTGTCACCTCTCCCTGCTCAGAGAAAAAATAAATCAGCCCACTGATATGGGGCAAATTGTCAAACTCTGGACTGAGGTGAGAGGTACAGGAAGAAGAAATTAAATGCTGTTTTACAGCGTGGTGTAAATTCTTTATTCACCATTGTGCACTATATACTGTTTGTTTAGTTTTGTCTAATTTTCAAACAGAAAAATTATAAGCCGGAATGAATTTGCTCTTTATTTTGTAGGTTGCGGTTAAAGCCTGATGTTGTCCTGAAGCATCTATCAATAGCAGTGTCAGCTAGTGATCAAAGCTACATGCCACAGCAGGTGACCGTATCCTTGGGGAGGAATCCCAGCAATCTGCAGGAAATCCGTGATGTCCGTATTCCCAGTAACATGACTGGATATGTCACTCTGCTGGACAATGCAAACGTCAACCACCCAAGTAATTGTACAGAGCTTTGGTTTTGGTTCACATCAGGATATAAACTAAATGTCTGTTTAATCTTGCCTTGCACTAAGCATGCATACAGTAACCGTGGTTTCTGGTATAGGCCAAGATCAGGTTTCAATCCTCAGTGTGTAATCTAAAGATTAATTTTGACATGCTTGGTGATGCAAACTAATTTTATAAAATTCCACATTATAATGTTTAGCTCATGCATGAATCCAAATGGCATTTTTTCTTGTTTTGCACTACAGCACCTTGCTTGATTCATTCTGTTTAGTTTGACAAATGTCTTCCAAATGTAACTACTGAGGCAGGGGGAGGGAAAGGAACTACCTTGGAATTGATTATCGTGCCTGGGTATTGACAGGTAGAATAAAATGATTCAACCAATAAATTATATAATGATTAGGCAATCCATTTTTTTGAGCTATCAACTTGTGCATAATTGGAGGCTAAATGTGGTCTATTTTGGAACTTATGTGAAGTTGTGCATTATCATCCTTTCAGAAGGAAATTGAATAGATGGGGGAGAAAATGTCCAGCACTACATGGAAAGCTGAGGTGTGAAGGGAATAAATTGGATTCAAAAAAATAATGGTAGAATGACCTCCTGTACTGTACAGTTTTATGGACTTTAGCATGTCCATACAACATACAAGACTAAAATTTTACTTTTCCATGCTTTTTGGGGGAATAAAAGGACTTGACACTTCATTATATGCTTGGAAAGCATGCAGCAGTAAAAATATTGCAGGAGGCACTAAGTTCCTGTGTACTGCTTTTCTGAAGGGAAAGTACAGATTTACATGTAAATGTACAATGAGGACTTTTCACTATTATGTCTTCTTGATTAGCTGGCCAAGCTTTAATATACCTGATTGAGAAAACATTGACTCTAAAGTTTCTTAACTGAAACTTCTAGCACCTAAGTTAATCTGGACTTTGATTATATATCTTCACCTCTAAAGTTAGGGTTTTCAATGAAAGCTGGAATTGGGAGCAGTTGCAATTTGTGTAGTTTCTCATCATGCTATCTGTTGTAAGGTGAAATGGGTGTCCCTAACTTTTAAAGATTTAATAGCTTCCTTGCTTTCTCCATTGTTTAATGTAACGGAATCATAGAATCCTACAGTACAGAAGAGGCCCTTCAGCCATCAAGAATAATTAATGACCTCCGAGTAAAGGCACCCCCTTGGAACCAGTGACTGCGATATGATTGAATTTTACATCCTTTTGAAAGGGGGGGAAGGTTGGGTCTATGACTGGTATTTTAATCTTAAATAGGGGCAACTATGTGGGCGTGAACGCTGATGTAGCTGAAGTGAACAGGCACACTAGGTTGAGGAAAGATCAATGGAAACTCGGTAGCAGATGTTAAAGGGCTACTTTAGAATACTCAATAAGGACCTACCATTCGTGGTTTACTAAAGAATTTAGGGAAATATCAAACTTAAGGAAAAAGCATATAACTGCACAAAGATGAATAGCATGTGAGATGATTTAGTTAGAATATAAAGAATGTCAGTGAATGACTAAAATGTTCTTCAGGAGGAAGAGATTAGAGTATGAGAGGAAGCTAGCTAGAAATGTAAAAACAGACAGTAAGGATTTTGACAAGTATTTTAAAAGGAAAGGAAAAAATAAAGTGTGTTGGTTCTTAAAAGAGAGTGGGGAATTAATAGATAAGGAAATGGTGGGTGAAAAGAACAAATATTCTGTTCTGTATACTCACTAAAGAGTATACAAAACTCTGCCAGAAATGGCTGTGATTATGCATGGGAGAGGAAGAGAGGGACTTGGTGAAATTACAATCATTAGGGAAGTAGAACTAAACAAACTGATGGAGCTGCAGGCTGACAAGTCTCTGGGTCCAGATGGGCATCATTCTGGCATCTTAGTAGAGGGTGCCAGTAAGGTATTAAATGCATTGGTTTTAATGTTTCAGAATTCCCTTGGTTCAGGAAAGGTTCCAAAAGGCTGGGAAGTAGCAGATATAATCTCTCTATTCAAGGAGAGGGGAGGGATCTGAACCAGGTAGCTTGACATCTGTTGTGAAGAAAGTGTTAGAATTGATCATTAATGAGATTAAAGTTGCACTCTCAGGAAAATGTAAGGTCATGTGGAAGAATCAAATTGTGCCTAAACAATTTATTAGAGTTTTTTGAAGGAGTGTCGTGCACTGTGGATTAAAGAATATCCATAGTGTACTATACTTCGATTTCTAGATGCATTTGATAAGGTACCAAATCAAAGGGAGGAAGAAAAAGGTCATGGTGCAGGGGTAAAAGATTACCATGAATGTTAAAACAGTGTGCAAAAATGTATCTTTGTCAGGATATGTCAAATGGAGTTCCACGTGGCTCTGTGCTGGGCCTCGACTTTTTATATAAAAAAAAAAAATTTACATCAATGATTTAGATGAGGGGAGTGAAAGCATGATCATGAAGTTTGCAGATAGGTAGGAAAGTGCACAGTTAAGAAGACAAAAGGAAGTTGCAGGTGACTCAATAGATATGTTGAGTGAAAGGACAAAAAATCTGACAGCATATAATATGGGAAAATGTGAAGTTGTTCACTTTGGCTGGAAGAATGCAAAAGCTAAAAATTAAATGGAAAATGGCCAAGGATTTCCAAGGTGCAGAGCAATTTATGTTACAGTGCGAGAGTTATAAAAAGTCAGTGTACAGGTACAGCACCTAATCAAGAGAACTAATGGGGTGCTATTTGTTACTAAGGCATTGACATTAAGCTTGTGATGCTTTGCTTCACTTATACAAGGTAATGGTGAGTGCATATCTCGAATACTGTATGCATTTTGGTTTTCTCATTGAAGGAAAGATGCAATTACATTGAAGATGATTGAGAGGATGTTTACTGGATTGGTAACCTGGAACAAGCAGATTATTTTATGGAGATGGGTTAGACAAACTGGGCATGTTTCTACTGGAGTTTGAAGGAGTGAGGGTTGACTTGATTGAACTTATAAGGTCCTGAATGTCCTAACAAGGAGGTGGAATGAATGTGGGCGAGTCTAGAAGTAGGGGCACAGTTTGAAAGTTAGGCCCTTTCAGGACAGATGTGGGAATTTTGTTCTGAACGTCGTGAGATTCTGGAGCACTTCATTTCAGAGTGATGGACGTGGGGTCCTTAACAATTTATAAGATAGAAGTGGATAGATTCTTGAAAGACAGGAAAATCAAAAGTTATTGCGGGAGAGGGGGTGAGGTGTTGAGGTGTTAGATGAGAATGTGGAATTCAGCAAACTTGAGGGGCTGAATGATCATCTTCTATCTTGAAAGTTGTAAAATATATTGAGAACAGCTTTGGATTACTTTATTTAAGACAAGTCTGATATTTAAGTTTGTTTTCTGTTGTGCAGTGCTTAGACAGATTGTACCTATGAACAGCCACACCTGAGCTGACAGCCCTTCTTTGACAATAGGGAACTGATTTTTTGTTTAAGTATTTTCCTCTCTTTTAGTTGTTAAAAATCTTCAATGACTTGTTTTTGAGGCTTTTAAAGACTTTTTGGTGTAACGTGGGAACTTTGATAGAACGTTCCATGGAAAATTGTGTTTACTACGGATCATGTTATTGGAGAGGAGTTAAATGTGTGTTTTCCTTTCAAATTAATACCGCCTGATATATGAAATGTCTTCTGACTTATTCAATAATTAAACAAACACTCAATTGTTCTACTTCTGTCATGAAAGTTCACAAGATAGATTTCTGCCATAACAAGGTGTAGAGCTGGATGAACACAGCAGGCCAAGCAGCATCATAGGAGCAGGAAGGCTGACGTTTCGGGCCTAGACCCTTTCTGCCATATGTATATAGATTAATTAGATCTTTATTGAATTCTAAAACGTCTGTTAAATGCCCCACTTTCTGTGTCCTTTTTTCAGCCCTTCTACGTGACATTTTTCACATTCTGTAAGTTGGATCTTTGAATATGTATCATTCAACGCTGATTTTAATTATATACAGTAAATCCTTGACCATTGCTATACAATCATCAAAGATGCCTACCGCTCCATCCCCTGTCTGCATTTTGGAAAATCAGATCGCAACGCTGTCCTTCTCCTCCCAGCTTACAAGCAGAAATTGAAGCACAAGGACCCAGTACAGAAAGTCGTGCAGTGTTGGTCTGAGGAATCAGTAGGGCTTCTATGGGACTGCTTAGAGTCGGTGGACCAGTCCATATTCAAGACCTTAGCGGCCAACCTAAACGAGTATGCCACTGCCATTAGAGACTTCATTAGTAAGTGTGTAGAAGACTATGTGCCAAAGAAGTTAATCTGAGTGTTATCCAAATGAAAGCCACAGGTGAACCAGGAGATACCCTCCCCACTGAAGTCCAATCTGAAGTGTACCAGTCAGGCGACCATGACCTATACAGGAAATCCACATATGACCTTTGCAAGTCCATCAGAGATGCCAAGAGGCAATACCAAATTAAGCTTGAGACCCAGACTAACCACACGGACACCCGTCATTTGTGGCAAAGCTTATGTGACATAATAGGCTACAAAGCGAAGTTGAACAGAATCGTGAGCAATGGTACATCCCTACCCAATGAGCTCAATGCATTCTGCACTCACTTTGAACAGAAGTGCAGTGAATCGATGTCACCTGTACCATCAGCGTCGGATGCACCTATAGTCTTGGTCACCATCACAGATGTTAGATTAGCCTCCTTAAGGCTGACCCACAAAAGCAACCAGCCCAGATGGAATTCCCGGCCATGCACTCAGATCCTGTGCGGACCAGCTGGTGGGAATACTCACTGATGTCTTTAACCTTTTCTTCCTTCAATCTGAAGTCCCCACCTGCTTCAAGAAGATGACCACCATCCTGGTGTGAAAGAAAAATCATGCAGTGTGCCTCAATGATTACCACCCGGTAACTCTGACCTCCCTAATTATGAAGTGCTTTGAGAGATTCTTCGTGGCTCACAAAAACTCCGTTCAACCAGATTGCCTTGATCCTTTGCAATTCCCCTACCTGCACAACAGGTTCATGGCAGACGCCATATCCTTAGCACTACACTCATCCCTGGAACAAGTGGATAACAGGAATACCTATATCAGGCTCCTGCTTATTGACTATAGCTCTGCCTTCACCATTACAATTCCAAACAAACTCATCTCCAAACTCTGAGATCTAGGTCTCAGCTCCCCGCTCTGTAACTGAACCCTCAACTTCCTGACTCACAGACTGCAATCAGTAAGAATAGGCAAAAACACCACCTCCATGATAATCCTCAACACTGGTGCCCCGCAAGACTCCTGCTGTACTACTTATATACTCCCAACTGTGTGGCCAAATTCCACACCAACTCCATTTACAAGTTTGCTGACACACCACTGTTGTAGATGATGAGACAGAGTATAGGAAAGGTACTGAGTGCTTAGTGGCCTAGTGTAAAGATGACAATCTCTCCATCAACATCAGCAAAACGAAGGAGTTGGTCATTGACTTCAGGAAGTGGAGTGAAGGATATGCCCCTGTCCACATCAGTGGTGCTGAGGTGGAGATGGTCCAGAAGTCAAGTCCCTGGGAGTGATGATCAATGAGAATCTGTCTTGGTCTACCCGTGTCGACACAACGATCAATAAAGTATACCAATGCCTGTCATGCCTCAGGCTAAGGAAATTTGACATGTCCCCAAAGACACTTGCCAATTTTTATAGATGCACCATTGATACATCCAGATAGGATGCTTTCACAATGTGGTATGGAAGCTTGCTTCCCAACACTGCAAGAAACTTCAGAGAGTCATGAACACAGCCCAGTCATTCATCAAACCAGTCTTCCATCCATTGACTCCATCTACACTTCCCGCTGCCTTGGTAAAGCCGCCAGCATAATCAAAGACCCCACCCTGCTTATACTCTCTTCCACCCTTTTCCATTGCGTAGAAGATACAAAAGTGTGAATACACATACAAATAAAGTCAAGAAAAGCTTCTTCCCTGATGTAATCAGACTTTTGAATGGACCTTTAGGGCAGCACGGTGGTTAGCACTGCTGCCTCACAGCGCCAGGGACCCGGGTTCAATTCCACCCTTAGGCGACTATCTGTGTGTAGTTTGCACATTCTTCCTGTGTCTGCGTGGGTTTCCTCTGGGTACTCCAGTTTCCTTCCACTGTCCAAAGATGTGCAGGTTAGGTGGACTGGCTATGCTAAATTGCCTATAGTGTTCAGGGGTCTGTAGATTAGGTAGATTAGGTGGGTTATAGGGGTATGGGTCTGGGTCGGATGCTCCAAGGGTCGGTGTGGACTTGTTGGGCCGAAGTGCCTGTTTCCACACTGTAGGGATTCTATGACTCTCAAATTTTGATTCTGGCGTCTCTCTCTGCACCTTCGCTGTGGCTGTAATACTATTCTGCATTCTGTTCTAGTACCAGATACACTTGATATGTTACAGTCTGGCTGTATAGCACACAAAACACAACTTTTCGCTATCTCAGTACATGTGACCTCAATAAATCAAATTAGATCAAATTTGGCAATCTGCCAATTGAAATTCCCTAGTAATTGGAATTTCCAGCAGCCAGTCATTTTTGATGGTCAGATAATACATCCTCTTCTTTTCTTAAAAAAAAGTTGTTAATAAGTAGAAGTTGTATTTCAGTTTTACATTGACCAAAGTTGATACAATAATATAATAATTTCAATGTGCCTAAGTGATGGTGTACTGCTTGGAGCTGCTGTGAAACAGCTCATTTTTCATTGTAAGCAGTTGTGTTGGTCAGCCTGATCTTCAATTGTGGTTTCGATATGTGGGGCCCTTGAATGCACAGCTATTTCCCCTCTCCCCTCAATCCCTCAAAGACAGAGCATAACCTTGCCTTGTGCCTGGAGAAATGCAACTAACCGTATATTGGCATTTTCACTAACTAGCAGCAGCCAATCCCCAGGCGTGCCTAATAACAATTTTTGCTGCAGTTTCCTTACAACTGAAAGCATCTCGGTTTCTCACTCCTTTTCTTTGACTACAAGAATAACACTTCCTGACCTTTCTGGCCCTAGCCTGAGATATCTCAGTCAGTTTGTTGCTTTAAATAAGGATTCAAGGCCTCCTTTCCAATGAGCGAGAAAGGGGAATAATTCTGCCTGTCTTGTCTCTTTGCTGGTTCATAACCTTTCTTATCTAAGTTTCCTATTAAGCTTTCTCATTAAACATGTAAGAATTCTAGGCTGAGAATTGCTGTATAATTTCTAACTATTTTAAGATGTTACAGTTTTACAACCAGATGGCAAAAAACTAACATTATGAAATAAAGTTTATTAGTATGTTTTAAGGCAGTGCGATCACTCCTTCCTCCAGTATTATTCAGCAGACTTAGTGCAGTGAAGGAGACATGTTCCACTTCCATAAGTCAGGAGCACGTCGCACAATTACAAGTCTCCAGCCAAAGAGTGTGTCTTTATTCGTATTGCTAGACTATTAATTCAGAGACCCAAGTAATGTTCTGGGCTCCAGGTTCAAATCCTGCCATGGCCGATGGTCACTCGGCCCTTGAATGCACAGCTATTTCTCCTCTCCCCTCAATCCCTCAAAGACAGAGCATCACCTTGCCTTGTGCCTGGAGAAGTGCAACTAACTGTATACTGGCATTTTCACTAACTAGCAGTAGCCAATCCCCAGGCGTGCCTGATAACAATTTTTGCTGCAGTTTCCTTACAACTGAAAACATCTCAGTTTCACACTCCTTTTCTTTGACTACAAGAATAACACTTGCCAATTTTTATAGATGCACCATTGATACATCCAGATAGGATGCTTTCACAATGTGGTATGGAAACTCGCTTCCCAACACTGCGAGAAACTTCAGAGAGTCATGAACACAGCCCAGTTGTTCATCAAACCAGCCTTCCATCCATTGACTCCATCTATACTTCCCGCCGATGGTGGAATTTGAATTAATAAAAAAAAGGGTCTGCAATAAAGATTCTAATGGCGACCATGAAACTTGCTGATTGTCAGGAAAAACCCATCTGGTTCCCTAATGTCCTTTAGGGAGTGAAACTGCCATCCTTACCTGGTCTGGCCTACATGTGACTCTGGACCTACGGCAATGTGGTTGACTCTTAATTGCTCTCTGTGCAATAAAATGCTGGTCCAGCCAGCGACACCTACATCCCATGCATCAAGCATTTGTACTTGAGTAAAGACTAACCAAGGGAAATTAAGTGGGTTGTACTCAACTTTACGTATTGGGATTGGGAGGAAGCTCTTGGGCAATTATAATGGGTGACTGGAGTCTGAGGTCATACGTGCTGAGAAAAATACACTCCCATTATTCCTAAAGGTTTGGCAAAACGTGATCATGGTGAACATTCAGAGAATGAGGTCAATGACAGAAAACGTAAAATAATCCCTTTTTTGCGTACTCCAGAGGTCTAAGCATTACAACTCAGCATGACTGGAAACCTACTTTAAGGTATAAAGTTAGGATTTCTTTGTTAGCCCATGCATTTGTGTGATTACCTACAGGTTAGGTTTAAGAAAAATAAATGCATTACACAGAGTACGAGCAAAACGATAAGGTGACTGCAAAGTAATTTTTAAATTCTTTTTCTAATAAGTTGTACAGATAAATATTAAACGTTGCCATGGTGATGGCTGTGACACGAGGATTCATGGACTTAAAACAATGGGATACCAGGTTGTGAAGAAATCTGGCGTATCAGTATCTGATGCTTCTGCGATTTGGTACTTGACCGTGCTAACAACGTTGGTGACTGCTTCCATAGAAACAAACCCTGACCTTGCACAAAATGTCCTTCGAATAACGCAGTAAGTATTTCCTATTCCTGCATTCAAAATATTTCTAATTGATCCAAGGATGATTCCAGTTGCATACTGTATATATTGATGCAGACTGTTTGTTTTTCTTTCCCACTATTAGTTGGTGCCTGAAATGCTGATTTCAAGGTGTAACTTGCTGTTCTTTTTCTTATTTTGTAGAAAAGCACTGCAACACATGCCACCGCTGTCCCTCACTGCAGGATCCACAGAGCTGCCAAGCTTCATGTCATCAAATGTTCTAGAGAAAGTGGACAGTTTTCTCGTCAGGATTGCGGGGTAATTTTTGTTTTTGTATCCTACAGTGATGAATTGATTTTGAACCCAATGCAAATGATTCTCATCTGTTTTATCAGCTTCCTCCAGCTCTACAACACTTTGTTATTCCAATGGCTTTTTCCTTATCCCTATTGCTGTGAGCCGTTCCTAGAGATTGTGAGGACCAAACTTTGATACCCTCTCGAACCTCCTCACCTCTCCACTTCTCTCCTCTAATAATGCACTTCTTCTGTGGCTCGATCAAATTTTGTTTGATAGTAGCTTCTGTGTGATGTTTTAATTCCTTGAAGCTGCTCAAATATTACATTAGTTGGCTATTATGCTGGTTTGTGGTGTACAGTGACCCCTTAAAGACTGGTTCAATTCTTATTTCCTTAACCTTGTCCCCCTTGTCTTTGTCTAATCAGACAGAACCTATTGGCCTCTAGGATTATGCAGACTTTCATTTTTCCATTGTTAGCTTACACCATAGTAATAATCCCCAATCAGACCGTTTTTTTGAGACCTTCATTGTCACAGTGGATATCCAAATTAAGTAACTTCAATCTAAATATCCCACTTCTCTCTCTCTCTCCCTCTGTGATGGGTCTAGTAACTGTCTTTAAAAAAAAAAAGCCTTCAGTGTACACCCCAGAAGTTACTTTAGGCAGCTGTTTGATATTTCTGGATAAGAACATTCAACAAGTTGCTGAGCCCATAGATCACCTGCTTAATTCCTGGTCTGCTAATTTCAGGCCAGAGAGGGTACAAAGTGCACTTCTGTCTCCAAAACAGAGAGGATAAGTTGATCATATTCTGGATTGCAATTCATTTAACCCTTTGCTGGAAGAAATCTACTTTTCTGTCAAATAATCCTCTGACGCTATGTCCTGTATGAGTAACCGGAGCAGATCACTGCTGGGAATGTTATCCTTTTTATAAATATCAAGGTCTGTGGGACAGTTTGAATGAAGTTGTAACAACACCTCTGCCTTGTATCCTTGGTACCTGGTTTTAATCTAACAGCTGCTTCAGTATCAGAAGTGCAGGATAGCACAATGTTGTTTTGATGTCTTAATCCCCCTCAACCAATGAATTGCACCATGTTGTACCTAAAACTTGTGTGGAAGTCTTTGACTTAAAAATTTTACTGGAAAAGTAGAGAGGATTGCAGAAAGCATTCTGTTTCCCAGTCCATTTGAAAGCCAAGCAGAGGTTATGGTCAAGGAGAAGATTAATTGCCCCGTTGGTAGTTGAGAAGGGAAGTATTGGAAGGATGTATGAAGGAGGAAGGGAGTGTTGGTGCCCTCGAAAATGTTTCCAAGCCCACCGTTGGTGCTTATATGTTCCAGAGTATGTGTTCCCAACACCAAAAATGTTTGCTGGAGCCTGAGCATGTGCAGATGGCCCCGTTACGTCAGTCAGGTATCATGTTATTGCCAGTAAATGGTATCCAGCACTGCATGTGATATGACCAGTTCAGATATATCGGTGTGAATCTTGGTGTCTTATAGACTTTGTGCCATTCCCGTTGCCACTACATGACTCTCTTTCCATTTTGTGTTGAAAGTTAAAATTTCTAAATGACTCTGATGGGAGGAACGTGCTGGTAATCGTGCTCCATGAATTGTGCACTGTTAGTGTAGATGTTTTAGGGCAATCACCAAAATGGTCAATGATTTCTCTTTTGTACTGCTATCCAGAAGAAGAGAGACTTTTCACCAGCCTGTCTTTAATGAGCTCAGAATAATCCATTGTTATAAAATAGTAGGCACTCTTAAAAACAAGTGGGAAAACTGATGAACATCTGAACTATTATCCAGATTAGAACTACATCTTCTTTTAATCCCAAAGCATGCATGCATAACACACAAGACAGCAAACACTCTTTAGAGATGATATGTTTTAAAAGGACAAAAGAGAAACACCCAGTTGGTCAATGGTCTGAAAATCAAAGGATAGAGTTTGAAGAATTCTGAGTCGACCAGCTTTTTTCTTGACAAAATGGAATTGCAGATGGCCGTAGGCCAAAGAAAGGCCATCCAAACCAGGTTTCAGTTTGGATTTGAGTCTTTGGATAGTGGTCACAATTTAGCTCTTCAAAGTTCACAATTAAAATTCTGAGGTGTAGAAACTTTTATCAGGTTCCCTCGTGCTTCAAATAAGAGAGGGAGGCAGATAGTCTTGTAGCCGTAGCAACGTTTTAGACATTTTTCTTCTTCCCAGACCACTTCAGTTTTTGTTTTCGCAAACCTATTCCAGAAAGTGTTGCTAGGCAACTGTCAGTATGGGTGCCCCGTTGCCTGTTCCAAAGCCATGTTTACCAGCAATTAAAGTTGATAAACCCAACTCTTATCTTACCAAAAGCTTTGTTTGGCTACTTTTCCAAAGAAATTTGACTTTCCATGGTGAACATGTGGATATCAGCCTGCATTAAACTGTTAACATCATTTCCAAGAACCCAAGGGGTTCCCTTCAAACCATTGATAAAACCCATTTTTTTGATTCAGAAAGTGTCCAAATACTTCAGCATTTCCAGTTCTCCATGTAGCCCATAAATATAGAAATGTATTCCCAACGTTGACGACTTGTTGAATCTTTGTAATGCTGCAATTGATCAAAATGTTTTTTCAAAAGCTTGCGTGTATTAACAAAAGCTGCCTGATGGCTGTGTGTACCAGTACGGAACATCTCCAGAATTTGTATTCCTGGTGCCTACTGGAAATGCAGGAATAATGGACTAATCATGGTTTGCCTCTGCTGTGAATACATGGACAGTGGCATCTTCTTCACAGACAGCTACTGTCTGTCACAATGTAACACTGCAACACTGTGCTTCTCTTTATGCATGGTCATTGCAAAGCCTAGCAGCGGTGTTGATAATAAAACCGCCTATTTAGTCTAATTTTATAACTTTCTAACCGCAGCATTTGTCAATGATCACTTCTGCCGATTACTAACAACCATATCTTGTGAAATACTGCAGATCCTAGAAACCTGAAACAGAAACAGAATGCCACAAAAGTTCAGGCTTGTGCATAGAAAGTTAGTATGTCAAGGTAACCTTTTGTGAGAATTGGAAAAACTAATGGCTTTTAAGCATGTATAGAATTTGGGAGGAAAGGGAAGCACAAAAGGAAAGATCTGTGACACTGTGGAAGTTAGAAGGGATGGTGCAAGGCATGAGGGTGTGGTAAAAGGACAAGGAAAGATAAAATGAGTTCAGAGCAGGCAAAAATGGAAGCAGCAAAATTGTCACTAACACCTGTCATTGAGGAATATTGGGAACAGCAATAATGATCTGAAACTATTGAACTCAGTGTTGAGATTGGAAGTTGTAAAATGCTGAACTGAAAGGTGTCGACCTTCTATTGAGCTTTTTTTAGAATAATGGAGCCTAAGAACAGAATTGTTGATGGGAATGGGGTGGAAAAATCAAAATGGCAGTGACTAGAAGCTTGTGGTTAAGCACGTCAACAAAACAGAAGTGTTTCATAAATGTGTGTGTGCGCGTGCATGTGGGTGTGGTCTCCCCACTCCCTATAGTAATTTACCTTGTGAACAGCAATTATGATATGGAAAATTGAAAGAAGTATGTATAAATTAACTGTTGCACTTGGAGGGGAATTTGTGGCCCTAGACAGAGAGAGGAGCAGTGCGAAAATGTGTTGCATTTTCTGCTCTCCAGTGGGAAAGGGAAGGAATACACTGTGAGGCTGATTGAAGAGCGGATTGACCGGGTTGTCACAGTGAGAGCGTTCCTTTTGCAACACTGAGAAGGAAGGGAAAATGGGTTTGGTGGCAGAATCAGAACCTGAGGTGGTGAAAATGATGAAATATGATCCATTAAATGTGAAGGCTGGTGGGTTGGAAGGTGAGGACCCTACCATGATCCTGGGTGAGAGAGAATCAAAGCAGAAGTAAGTGAAATGGGACAGAATGGGTGGGGAGCATTGTCAAACCATAGTGGAGGGACATTCTCAGCTGAACAGATGTGCAAGAGGCTGAGAAAGTGGGAGAATTGAATAGATTCCTTGCTGGAAGTACTGTGGGAAGCAGTGCCACCAGCATGGGAGTCAATGGGCTTGTGGATTTCAGTTGACAGCCTAATCTCAGAAATGCAGGTAGAGAAGTTGAGGAAGGGCAGAGTTGGAGATGAACCTGTAAAAGTGTTGGAAAGGTGGAAATTGGAATGAAAATTAATGAAAGTTTGCAGTTTGGAGAAAAGAGCAGGAAACAATATCAGTTCAGTCATCAAACTCCTGAATAAGAATGCCAGGTGCCTGAATAGGACAGGAGGAAAGAATGTTCCACAATTCCCAGGAAAAGGCAGGTATAACCTAATACCCTGCTGGGCTCCTGTAGAAATGTATTTGGAGAAAGTGAGTGGAGTTAAAAGAAAAGAGGATAGTATTTGATGGCTGAGCCACCAGTCAGGGAAGTAATGGAGTATTCTATTCTGGTGAGGTATTGAAGTGTGAATTTTGGAAGGTGATTCTTCTGACTCCCTCCACCATTTAACAGTTTCCAGTTTCTAGACCCTCGCCACCACCTCTCTGTGGATTTCCGATTTCTATACCCTCACCATCCCCTCATTTCCTGGTGCAGCTTTATGCAAGCATATTATATGCAATGCTTGTGCTTTGACTTCCTTTCTTTGTGCTGTCTAAGACCACCCCCCATTCACAGCTTGTGGATGAAAGAATGATTTCCTTGTACTCCTTTCAACTTAGTGTTTGCAGTATTTCACTGTGGTCTTTTCTACACAGCTGGGGACCAAATACAAATTGGATGTTCACTTTGCAGAACATCATCATTCAGTCTGCAATTCTGACTCTGAAGCTTCTGGTCATTTTAATTATCTTCCCCCACTCTCACTCTGACCACAGTGTTTGAATAAAGCTGGAAGAACAGCACCTCATCTTTTGGTTAGATACTTTTGGAATCAACACTGAATTCAACAATTTCAGGTCTTATCCACTGATTCTGTTCGACAGTGATCCCACTGCTGCCGTTTACACTTCCTCTGAACACTTTCTTTTTCTACATCTCCTTTTTTTAATCATCTCTTTTATGTTTTATATCCTTGTCCATTTTGTTGTTCAATCTCTCCCACCTTTTCAGACTTGCCTTCATTCTTTCCACCGATTCCCTCATTCCTTGCCTCTATATTTCCACAGAAGTGTTACCTCTTTTTTTTTTCTAGTCTTGCTGAATGGTCATTAGCCTGAAACATTAGCTTTATTTATTGAACACACACACGCTACTGAGTGTTTGCAGCAGTTTCACTTATTTTTTCCTGTTGTACTCATAGAAAAAAAAAGACATTTTGTCACATTCAAAACCACTTTGATAGGAAGAGATAAATGAAGGTTGCTTTGAGGTAATAATGATGAGCATGACCATTTTTAAAATGAAGTTCACTCTTTTCACTCATCTAAAACAATCTTGTGATGAAAAATAAAATTGATTTAATATTTTTGAGCTGGTGGATATTAAACTTTGGTTCTAGAAGGAAATCTCTATTAGTTATCATGATGGCTCAGTGGTTAACATTACAGCCTCACAGCACCAGGGATCTGGTTTCAATTCCACCCTTGAGTGACTGTGTCTATGTGGAGTTTGCACATTCTCCCTGTGTCTGCATGGGTTTCCTCTGGGTGCTCCAGTTTCCTCCCGCAGTCCAAAGATGTGCAGCTTAGGGGGATTGGCCATGCTAAATTGCCCATAGTGTCCAGGAATGTGCAGGCTAGGTGGGTTAGCCATGGGAAATGCAAGATTACGTGGTTATGGTAGGGGTGTGGGTTTTGGTGAGATGTTCTTTGGAGGGTTGATGTAGATTCAGTGGCCCAAATGGTCTGCTTCCATACTGGAGGGATTCTATAATTCTATGGTTCTATCTGGAGTATTCCAAATGCACAACAAAGTTAGCACTACACTGGAATTTCACAACCTCTGGTAGCAGTTTGCCTTCTGCGTTAGCTCATGTATTATTCTGAACCTGTCAAATTTTATGAACCATGTTCATTTTTAAAAATTATTCATTCTCTGGGTATGTTTAACACTGGGCTAGACGCACTTAGTGCCCCAAGAAGGCATTCTTCAAGCCTTTGTTTAATTGTTGAATGCGACTGTGGGTGGCTATCTCGGTCACTTAAAAGAGAAGTTACGATTAGGTAAGCTAACCTTTTTATCTGAATATATTCCTCTTTCAAAAGAATTTCTCTCTATCACTAGAACACCTGGATTTTGTTTAGCTATGCCTCAGAAGTTGATGAAAATGCAGACAAAGCAGAGTGAATCTTTGCCAAGTCTGCATTTAAAGCTAATGCCACCACTAGGTAGAATGCTGCATCTGCAAGTAGCATTTCTGTTGACATAACCAGGTGTAGAGCTGGATGAACACAGCAGGCCCAGCAGCAACAGAGGAGCAGGAAAGCTGACGTTTTGGGTCTAGACCCTTTTTTCAGAAATGGGGGAGTGGAAAGGGATTCTGAAATAAATAGGGAGAGAGGGGGAGGCGGATAGAAGATGGATAAAGGAGAAGCTAGGTGGAGAGGAGACAGACAGGTCAAAGAGGCGGGGTTGGAGCCAGTAAAGGTGAGTGTAGGTGGGGAGTTAGGAAGGGGATAGGTCAGTCCAGGGAGGACGGACAGGTCAAGGGGGCGGGATGAGGTTAGTAGGTAGGAGATGGGGGTGGGGCTTGAGGTGGGAGGACTGGATAGGTGGGAGGAAGGACAGGTTAGGGAGGCGGGGACGAGCTGGGCTGGTTTTGGGATGCGGTCGGGGGAGGGGAGATTTTGAAGCTTGTGAAATCCACATTGATACCATTGGGCTGCAGGGTTCCCAAGTGAAATGAGGTGCTGTTCCTGCAACCTTCAGGTGGCATCATTGTGGCACTGCAGGAGGACCAGGATGGACATGTCGTCCAAGGAGTGGGAGGGGGAGTTGAAATGGTTTGCGACTGGGAGGTGCAGACGTTTGTCGCGAGCTGAGCGTAGGTGTTGGAACTCCCCACCTACACTCACCTTTATGGCTCCAACCCCACCTCTTTGACCTGTCTGTCTCCTCTCCACCTGTCTTCTCCTTTATCCATCTTCTATCCGCCTCCCCCTCTCTCCCTATTTATTTCAGAACCCCCTTTCCCTCCCCCATTTCTGAAGAAGGGTCTAGGCCTGAAACGTCAGCTTTCCTGCTCCTCTGATGCTGCTTGGCCTGCTGTGTTCATCCAGCTCTACACTTTGTTATATCAGATTCTCCAGCATCTGCAGTTCCTACTATCTCTGATGACGTACTGTTTTTGTCAGTTGCGAGTTAACTGACCCAATATCAGCAAGGTGTTGAGAGGCATATTCTGAAATTAACATTCAAAAATGTCTTAAAGATGGATGTATGCCAGCAATTTGCAATAGCGTGTAAGGTGGACCTGTGTCTATTAGGCCATAAGAAATAGGAACAGGAGTAGGCCTTTTGGCCCCAAGAGCCTGCTCCACCATTCGGTAGGATCATGGCTGATTTGACACTCTTCGCGTTCACTTCCTGCCCTTTCACCGTAACCCTTGATTCCCCGACTGTTCAAGAATCTATCTATCTCAGCCTTAAATATACACAAGGACTCTGCTCCCACAGCTCTCTGTGGCAAGAATTCCAAAGACTTTTGACCCCCTCAGCGAAGAAATTTCCCCACCGATTTCATTCTTAAATTGGCATCCCTTAATTCTGAGGCCATTTCCATGAGGGAAACATCCTCTTGGCATTTACCTTGTTGAGCCCCTTAAGAATTCTATATGTTTCAATCAGATCACCTCTCATTCTTCTAAACCCCAGTCAGTCGAGTCTCAGTGTTCTTAGCCTTTGCTCATTAGACAATCCCTCCATACCAGGGATAATCCTAATGAACCTTCTCTGAACTGCCTCCACTGCAATGATCTTTCCTTAACTAAGGGAACCAAAGCTGTTCTCCGTCTTCTGGATGTGGTCTCACCAGTAACTTGTATAGTTACAGTAAGACTTCCCTACCCTTATACTCCAACCCCCTTGAAATAAGGGCCAACACTCCATTACCCTTCCCGATTATCTGCTACACCTGTGTGCTGGCTTCCTGTGTTTCATCAGTTACATGGTGCTATGAGATCGTGAGCTAGTTTAAAAAGCAATGAAACATTTTAGTTGTCAGCTTTTGCTGAAGACATGAGAGTGTTCAAGTGAATTAACTTCAGGAATGATGTAGGTCAACTGCAAAAAGGGAGAACATGAAATGAATGAGTCCTCCCATGTATCACCAGCTGCTGTTAATTGACTTCAAACTTTGTATGTGAGATGTCACAGCATAACTGAGCATGCTCTGATGGATCATGGTGACTACTTTTGAATTGGGAACTGACATTCCAATTTGACAAATGTTTTAAATTGTATTTTTGAATGATGTACAAATAATTGGTCCCATTGAACAATTTGAAGAGGTGGCATGTACTTCATGAATACTGTATACAAGAAGCAGCCTAAAGACACTCCCACCACCCACCAACCTTGCAGCATTGTCTTTGATTATTGTTGAGCAGTATACTTCTGCTGTTTCAGTTGCTGTGCCAGTCCTGAAGCAGAGTTGACTCTCCTAGCGTTTGCTTTGGCCAGAGGAAGCATAGCCAAAGTGATGACATCGCTTTTGACCATCAGTGACCACTTGGAGACAGAGTATGAGGCATCCCCACTCCTTACTGCCATGGCATCTGTACGACTAAACCAGCTTCAGAAATATGGTAAGTCTTGCTGTTATGATCTCTGTACGAACTGATTTTTAAAATGGAGGAGTCCCCACAAGCAAGCCAAGTAATATCAATCTGAATCAGACTTACAAATAGGAGCAAGAGTCAGCCATTTAGACTATGACCCAGCTTCGCCTTCAAGTGACATCATGGCTGATCTGATTGTAATTTCAAACGCATGTACCATTGATAACTTTCACCCCTTGCTTAACTAGCATCGGACTGCCTCTCTCTTAACAATATTCAAGGAGTCTGCCTTCATCAACTTTTAAGGAAGAGCATTCCAAAGATTGATGAGGAAAAAATTTCACCGCATCTCTGTTTTAAATTGGCTACCCTTGATATTTAAACAGTGTCTTTCTATTCTAGATTTCCTATAAGAAGAAACATCGTCTTGATACTTTGATTATACCGTAGACACACACATACACACACAACAGCCACCGAGAGATTGAGGAATAAATTTCCCCCCAAACAATGGGGGATTTTAGCTATGGAGAAAGGTTGGTAGACTGGATTTGTTTTCACTGGAACACAGGAGGTTGAGGGGTGACCTAGTAGAAGTTTATAAGATTGTGAATGGCATGGATAGAGTGGAAAGTATGAGGCTTTTTCCCTGGATGGAAGGGTCCATTACAAGGGTTCAAGGTGTGAAGGTGCATCTTTAAAAGAGATGTGCGAGACAAGTTTTTCACATAAAGGGTGGTGAGTGTCTGGAATGCGTCGCCGGAGGTGGTGTTGGAAGCAGACAATTGCAGAATTCAGGAAGCGCCTGGGCGAATACATGAATAGGAAAGGAATAGAGGGATACGGATCCTGGAAGTGAAGACAGTTTTCATTTGGAAGGGCAAAAAGTGGTGGTGCAGGCCTGGAGGACCGAAGGGCCTGTTCCTGTTCTGTATTGTTCTTTGTTCTTTGTAAATATGTAGACAAATTATGGAAAGATACAATAAAAACAGAACTGTCATGGTGGGTGACTTTAACTTCTCCAATATTAACTTGGACTCCATTAGAGCAAGAACTTAGACAGGGCACAATTTGTTAAGTGCATCTAAGAGGATTTCTTGAAACAGTATGTGGATAGTCCAACTAGCGGAGGGGCCATTCTGGACCTTGTATTGGCTAATGAGCCTGGCCAGGTGACTGACCTTTCAGTGGGGCAGCATTTCCGAAACACTGATCACAATTCCTTAAGTTTTAAGATAGCTATGAACCAAGATAAGTCAGGACTTCGTGGGAAGGTAAATTACACAAATTACAGGAGCTAGGGAATGTTAATTGGGAGGAATTGTTATTGGGCAAGTCCACATTTGACCTGCTGGGGAGAGTTCAAGACTGGGATGTTCCAGTAAGGAGGAAGGACAAGGATGGCAAGGTAAGGGACCCTTGGATAACGAGGGAGGTGAATTTAGTCAAAAGGAGAAAAGCATATATAAGGTTTAGGGAGCTAAAATCGGACAGGCCTGTGAGGAATATAAAGAAAGCAGGGAATTAGGAGAGCAAGGAGGGGCCATGAAATGACCTTGACAAGTAGGATTAAAGAGAATCCCAAGGCATTTTATGGATACATTAAAAACAAGAGGATAACTAGGACCACTCATGGATAAAGGAGGGAAATTGTGCTTGGAGGCAGAGGATGTGGGTGAGATCCTAAATGAGTACTTTGCATCAGTATTCAGTCAGGAGAAGGATATGGAGGATAGTGAGATTTGTGTGGAACACGCTAATATGCTAGGGCATTTGGAGATCGTGAAAGAAGTGATGCTGGGTCTCTTGAAGAGCATTGAAGTGGATAAGTCTCCAGGGCCTGATGGTATCTACCCCAGGTTACCGAGAGTGGCAAGAAGGGAGGTTGCTGGGGTCTTGACCAAGATCTTTGTATCCTTGCTAGCCACTGGAGAGGTCCCAGAGGACTGGTGAGTCGCTAATGTTGCTCCTCCATTTAAGAAAGAAAATAGGGACAATCCAGGAAACTGTAGCCTGTGAGTCCCTCATCAGTGGTTGGGAAGCTATTGGAGAGCATTCTTAGGGATACGATTTACGTGCATTTGAAAAAACACGGCCTAATTAGGGACAGTCAGCATGGCTTTGCAGGGAAGGTCATGTCTTACTAATATGATTGAATTTTTCGAGGAGGTGACAAAGTTGATCGATGAGGGTAGAGCAGTGGATGTTGTATACATAGGTTTTAGTAAGGCTTTCGACAAAGTCCGTCATGGTAGGCTCATCCAGAAGATTAAGATGCATGGGATTCATGGTGACCTGGCCGTGTGGATTCAAAATTGGCTTGCCCATAGAAGGCAGAGGGTACTTGTGGAAGGTCCGTGACGAGTGGTGTTCCGCAGGTATCCGTATTGGGACCTCTGTTGTTGGTAATATATATGAATGACTTGGATGAAAATGTCAATGGGTGGTTAGTAAATTTGCAAACAATACAAAAATTGGTGGCCTTGTGGATAGTGTAAAAAGTTGTCAAAGGATACAGCAGGATATAGATCAGTTATAGATATGGGCGGAGAACTGGCAGATGAAGTTTAATCTAGGTAAGTGTGTGAGGTGCTGCACTTTTGGAGATCAAATGTTAAGGAAAAATATACAGTTAATGGCAGAACTCTGAGCAACATTGATGTACAGAAAGATCTTGGGGTTCAAGTCCATAGGTCCCTGAAAGTGGCCACGCAAAGAGATAGGGTGGAAAAAGAAGGCGTATGGCAAGCCTGCCTTTATTGGTCGGGGAATTGAGTACAAGAGTCAGGATGTCATGTTGCAGCTTTATAATACTTTGTTTAGGCCACAGTTAGAGTATTGCATTCAGTTCTGGTCACCACATTACAGGAAGGATGTGGAAGCTTTGAAGAGGGTGGAATTTACCAGATTTACCAGGATGCTGCCTGGATTAGAGGGCATGATCTAAAAGGAAAAACTTGGGTTGTTTTCTCTTGAGCAGAAGAGGCTGAAGGGAGACTTGATAGAAGTCTATAAAATTACGAGATGCATAGATTGGCGGTCGGAATCCTTTTCCCAGAGTTGACATGTCTGTAACTAGGGGGTATGCATCTAAGGTGAGGGGAGGCAAGTTCAAAGGAGACGTGAGGGGCAAGTTTTTTTTTACACAGACAGTGGTAGGAGTATGGAACATGCTGCCAGGGATGGTGGTGGAGGCAAATACGTTCGGGGCTTTTAAGGAACTTTTAGATAAGCACGTGAATATGCAAAGAATGGAGGGATATGGACCAAGGGCAGGCAGAAGGGATTAGTTTCATTTGGTGTCATGTTCAGCACAACGCCGTGGGCTGAAGGGCCTGTTCCTGTGCTGTGCTGTTCTGTGTTCTATGCCTACTCTGCTGAGACCTCTCAGGATTTTATATGTTTCAGTCAATTCATCTCCTACTTCACTAAACTCTAGCAAATATATATCTAGCCTGTCCGACCTCTCCTCATAAGTCAACCCTCCCGTTCCAAATATTAGTCCAATAAACCTTCTTTGAACTGCCTCTGAGTTGACTAAAGCATTAACCTCCTTTTAGATTCAATTCCCCTTGAGATAAGTGATAACATACAAATAACTTTCCAAATTACTTTGTGTCTTGTTTCTAACTTTTTGTGCAAAGACATCCAGGTCCCACTGCAGTCTTTCACAATTTAGATAAATCTATCTTTATTCTTCAGCCCACAATAGACCATTTTATATTTCCTCACATTAGACTCCATTTGTCATATGTTTGCCCACCCACTTAACTTATCTATATGTTTTTGTAGCCTCCTACGTCATCTTCGCAGCTTCCTATTTTTGTGTCGTCAGTAAATCTGGCAGTTGTATCTTCCATTCCTTCACCTAAGTCATTTATATGAATTGTAAGCGTTGAGATGCTACTGCTAATCCTTCTGGCACACCACTTGTGATGTCTTGCCAACCTGAAAAAGACCCATTTATGCTTACTTTGTTTTCCTGGTAACTAACCAGCCAGCCTCCTATGCCAGGCCAAATGGCCTCCTGTCCAGTCTTCTAGTATGTTACCTGTCTTTGCAAGATTATGTGCTTTTTCATAAACATTAATTAACAGGTTAAAAATAAATGATAATTTTGATTTAAACAGTTGATATAACAATGATAGTCTTAGTGCAAGGACTGTCATTACTTCAAATGTGGTATCACAGTCAGTCTCAGAGTCTGTTTAAATCAACCTTGGTTTTGAAGGCTCTCATTTTCCATCCAATTATTTCTCTGTTGAGTCATATTAGCAAGAGGCTGTATTTCACCTGAAGTTCCTGGACATGCTTGCCACTAACAAGGTAGATGCCCATTCTGTATTGGGTCGTGGTTCAGAATCTGTCGAGACTACTTTCTCTGACCTATTTAAATGGCGTGGTGCGCTCTGGTAACACTGAAACAGCAGCCGTTGTTTGGTCCTTTCTAACTGAATACACACACACACACACACACACACACACACACACACACAATAAATCTTCGTTCCGTTTAGAGAGAACTTTTGCTGTTTTCTCTTTTGAACAGTATTCTGAACTGCCAAATAGAAAGCAAAATTAGAAATTGCTAGAAAAGCTCAGTAGGTCTGGCAGCATCTGTGGAGAGAAATCAGAGTTAACGTTTCAGGCCCAGTGACCCTTCCTCAGAACTAGGAAAGTGTTGGTTTATATGCAGAAGATAGGGTGGAGGGATGGGGTAAGGAGTAAACGATAGATGGAGATAGAATGGAAAGATAGAGAACAGTTGGACACTGCTACCAATTAAGTAAAGACAGAGCACCTGAAGATTAATTCCCTTCACAAACTAGATTTTAATACTGAGATCTTCATGTTAGGTGATTGATAACCCTGAATTTGCATGGGTAAGACTCATTTTCTTTGGGAAATTTTCATTCTGACATGTGGCATAAGAAAATAGAGAATCCTTGGTCTGGACAGCATGTTGGAGAATTACTGTGCAATGCGCCATCAACCTAGAATTTAGCAAAATTGGCAGATTCAATGTGCAAAACAATAGTTTTAATCAGAACAAGATACAATAATATGGTGATCGCTCATATACTCTGTGTTTGGCAGTTTTGGCCGAAGGAGCGAAATTTTTTTTTGTGAGAAGACAGGAGACCACAATCAACATTACTTGTTTTGTGCCTGTGCTTGATATTGAGCTTCCCCAGAGCTCATCCTGTGGCAGGCAAATGTTATTTGAAGATTGAAGACAGCTCAATCAAATAGAGGTTATTTAATGACCTCAAGAGGTGCGAAGGCTTTCACTGAGAGTACTTACATATATGACCTGTGACTCTGCCTTTTTATTTTTTGTGTTTTAAAGTACACAGCTAAAGATTTGGTTTCGCGTTCTCTTTATAGGAAAACCATTGCAGTTGACAGTGGAGGCATGTGATGCCAAAGAAGGGAAAGAAAAGGGATTTGGGCCAACTGCTGTGTTTTATGAATCGCTGCTGGGAGACGGTAAATGTTTTAAATGGTGTTCTTCATCAGGTGTTTGTACAATTAGGGGAGCAGATGATGACAAGGCAGTGGGAAAGGGAGAGGGTAATTATGGATATCTGTCACATTTTAGGGGAGGGGGCTCCTTTCCGCCAAGGTAATGATGATAGAATGGGCGGTGCGGTTGCTCAGTGGTTAGCACCGCTGCCTCACAGCGTCAGGGACCCGGGCTCGATTCCACCCTCAGGCGACTGTTGTGTGGAGTTCGCACATTCTCCCCGTGTCTGCGTGCGTTTCCTCCAGGTGCTCTGGTTTCCTTGCACAATCCAAAGATGTGCAGGATAGGTGGATTGGCCGTGCTAAATTGCCCATTGTATTCAGGGATGTGTAGATTAGATGGGCTATAGGGGGATGGGTCTGGGTGGGATGCTCTGACGGTCGGTGTGGACTTGTTGGGCCGAAGGGCCTGTTTCCACACTTGTAGGGTTTCTATGATCTAATTTCATTGGTTGAGGGTTAAAGCTATGGCTTATTATTCAGTGGCAGTACAGGTCTTAAACTTGCTTCTGCGAGGTGTCTTTGGATTTTTGTCAGTGCAGAGTTTTGGTGAGAGGTGTTTTTACACCCCAGGAGAATAGTTTAACGTCTGGCAATCACTTATTTCCCTTATTCTGTTGCAGGATTTCTGTCTGAGGCTGGCCATACACGAGCCAGCTTCATTTTGTCGTCAAGGACAAAATTATCCATCCAGGTCTCTCAAGTTAGGATCAAGGTAAGTACCTGCATGTGGACACAACTATGGGCTCAACTACTTCCAACCCTGCTTAGCTCTCAATGACACTTCCTTACCAATCAAAGTCTCTTCCTGTCCCATGCAGTCATGAATTGAACAATCGTCTTCAATTCCTTCAGAGCTTCACTTTTCCCTATCCCCGCAGTCTTCGGTGGCCTCTGAACTTTCACTCAGCTTTAAAGATCCTCGGTTTCAAACCAACTTAGTATGATCTGGATGTTGCTGGGGATTGAGGGGTTGAGATATAAAAATAGACCGGAAGGGTGGGGACTTTTTTCACTGGTGCACAGGAGATTCTGGAGTGACCTCATTGAAGTTTATAAAATCATGAGGCATGTAGCTAAGGTGAATGACAAGGGACTTTTCTGTAGGGTGGGGGATTTGAAAACTAAGGGGCATATTTTTAAGGTTAGAGGAAAAAGATTTTAAAAAGACATGAAGGGCAACTTTTTTTTTAGAAAGAGTGGTTCGTGTATAGAATCATAAAATCATTGAATCATCTACAGTGTGGAAACAGGCCATTTGGGCACATCGAGTCCACACCGACCCTCCGAAAAGCATCCCACCCAGACCCATCCTGTTCCTGTAGCTCTGCATTTCCCATGGCTAATCCACCTAGCCTACATATCTGTGAACACTATGGGCAATTTAGCATGGCCAATCGACCTAACCACATCTTTGGACTGTGGCAGGAAATCGGAGCAAACCCTCGCAGACAGGGGGAGAATGTGCAAACTGCACACAGACGGTCACCTGAAGGTGGAATTGAACCTGGGTTCCTGATGCTGTGTGGCAACAGTGCTAATCCCTGAGCCACCGTGCCACCTTATGGAATGAACTGCCAGAGGAAGTGGTGGATGCAGGTGTACAGTTACAATGTTTAGAAGACATTTAGATAAGTTCATGAACAGGAAAAGTTTGGAAGGATACGGGCCAAGCGCAGGCAGATGGAACTGGTTTAGTTTGGAGACCTAGTTGATGTGGACTGGTTGGACCGAAGGGTCTGTTTCCATGCTGTATGACTCTATAACTTTATCTCCCCGTGGACCTGTCCATTTCAGTTCTGCCCTAATCCCTCCCACCCCGTCCATTTCAGTGCGCTGTCTTTGCCCTTGCAGCTCCCCTTGGGACATGTTCCCCATTTGTCATGTTAATGCAGCTTCCATTCATGCCTGAGAGATAGTAGGAACTGCAGATGCTGGACAATCTGAGATAACAAGGTGTAGAGCTGGATGAACACTGCAGGCCAAGCAGCATCAGAGGAGCAGGAA